ACACACACACACACACACACACACACACACACACACACACACACACAGACACACACAGATAAGGGTGCGTGTAAACTCCTGCAACATTATGCAAACGCACGGCCGACGCGTAGAAACACACTAAACCCCTCTTCTCCCCTGATGGAGGACAAACTCTCAGAATTAGCTCCTCAAATATTGACCGGGAGAAATTGGTGGTCTCCCGCTCGCTGTCAGGGCAGAGGGGCTCCTAAACACACTTTGGTCAGGTTTAGAGGTTTAGCATTGATTTATTTTTGTTATTTGTTTGTTTAAATATCGTAAAAATAAATGTAAATGATCTGGTGAGGCTTAGTTCTGCTTTGGGCACAGAGAAAGCAATGTGCAGCAGAAAGCCCACCTTATTCTCTCGTTCTATCCACTTCCCCTCCTCTCTCGGGCCGCCAGCTCGCTTCACATCATTTGATCTGAAACGTGGGGTTCAATTGGTCGGATCCGGCTCTTCTCTGATCGGTTTTAGCCCCTCCTCCTCTCTGTGCCAGGAGAGGAAACAGATGGATGCTGAAGAGATGCCGGTCCTTTCTTTAATGGAGCATGCAGCGGCTTTAAGAGGGTGTTGTGATTAATTTATACACTCTCAGCCAATCACGTCGCTGCTCTGAGACAGCTGAGCCAATCACAGAGCAGCATGGGACAAGTCAACGAACAGAAAGATGCTCAAAGTCTGAGACTCGTTTTTCACCAAAACAGACGAGCAAAGTGAGAATGATGAAGTGTGTTTTTGCTTTGCTTTATTTGGCGTCGAGGGGCTTCCAGGCTTCCGTACCTCTATATGGAGAGGAGACGGATCGTTATCTGCTGCTGACCGGAGCGCCTCAGACAAGGAATAAAAAGAGGAGATTACAGCGGGTCAACAACCTCTCGCTGTTTAGTCGGGCTGAGTAAGGTTCTGGAAAGTTCCTCCCTCGTCTTGTAACAGAACAAAGTCCTCCAACAACGGAGGAAACGAGGAGGAGGAGGAGGAGGAGGAGGAGCGCTCACCTGGTGGCCTCCTGACTCCTCGCCCTACCGCAGAGTAAAGCATCGTGTGGTGAAGGTGGTGAGAGGAAGGAGGGGCAGCGTGGTCCTCTATTAGTAGCAGGTAAACAGCTCGGAGTTTAGACGAGCTGGTGCCGAAGAGTCTCCCTCTCACTCTCCCTCGTCTTCCTCTCGTGTTTACTCTCCCTCGTTCCTCTCCAGAGACGTTAGAACCCTCTGAAGGACTCCAGGTTTTCATCTGACTCGGGTGCAACAAAGACCTGGTCCCTCCACACTCGGCCTCAGGTGTCCGTTAAAGGACAGAGGGGTCGCAGAACGCCTTCAGCGTCTCCTGAGCGAGCTGCGTGAAGTCTGATAAATGGCCTCAAGTGATGTCACTTGAGTCGGCGTCAGTCGGGTCTGAAGACAAGTTTTAACAAGATGTCTGGAGGTTTAGTTTTTAGAAAGAGTGAGACCTCTGTAGCTGCTCCTCATCTCTGCTGCAGGCTAGAGGTCTCATGCTACATTAGCGGCTAACTAGCACAACACACCCGCTGGCGGTCGAGGTGCATTGTGGGTAATGAGGGCGGGTAAGTGAGTCGGTAACAAGGATTCAACCCGACTAGGCAACACTGACGTGACGTCAGCAGGAACACTGACGGTGTGAAGCGAGTACATCTCCCAGAATCCTCTCTGCTTTGACGCCATCCACACCTTTCACCGGTCCGTGTCCTCTCGTCTCCCTCCAGGGTGATGACGCACAGAAACCGTCTCACTTTGGTTCATCATCACATACGTAACAACACCTCACACTTTTTAATGCTCGTCCACAAAAATAACTCTGAAACTGAAAACCAGCAAAACCCAGACCCCCCCCGCTCTGTCTTTGTAGTAATTCATCAGATAAGATCCTCAGGAATGATGTTTGGTTCTTATTTCAAGTATTAAGTCCTGTATGACATTACAACACATTTCAACGAGGCGGAGCAGTCACAGAACATGCATGAAATGAGATCAGACGACTGTGTTTCTGATATTCGTTCATTATGACCCTTCAGTTCCTCGTTAGCATCTCGTGGAATGAAACACGGCGGCGTGTTCACGTGTCCACGGTCGTGTTCCGTGTTGCTGCTCTCCGTCTTCGTGATGTCTTTGCGGGACGCCGCACTCGGGCCGCTCCAGGCCGGCAGCTGTAGAGGGGGAGCAGCCAGGCCACAGAGGGCCTAATTACAGACCTGGACCGGGGGGACAACCCTGTGGAAAACTGTGTGCAACTGACAGAAGACACATGAGGAGGGGGAGGAGCCTGGACTGTGTGTTTGTTTTGTTGCTCTTTAAGGTTCAGAAACACGGACTGAAGCTGAAGATTACTCTCATAGTTTTAGTCAAAGTGTCCATCCAGAGGGACCAGGTCCAACTGACCCAGACCGGAACAGACCAGGTCTAACTTGGTCCCATCAGTCCTGATCTGCTGAATCAGAGTCAAAGATAAAAGAAAGTCATTTTCTTTTCTTTCTCTTATTATAAGAAGCAGCGATATTTATCCTGGAAGCTGAACTTTGTGAGTTCAGCAGCACTTTGATGTTGACGTGTCCTCCTCTCCGTCTCACCACCCAGGTCCTGAATTCCTCAGGTACGTGAGACAAAGAGACGCTCGCTGCTCTTTATGAGAGTCAATGATTCACCGAGGAGGAGGAGGAGAGACCTTCCTCCTCTCCAACTCTCTCACTCTGTCCGATAGCTCGGACTAGATTTAGGATTCTCCTCCTTCATGTCTGCTCCTCATCCCTCTTTTAAGGCTGCTTACAGTCGAAGTGTGTATTCTGGAGCCCATGAGGTCCGTGCGGTTTCCCGCCCTGCTCTTAACTTAGAACAGATATTAGGATTTGACTCGTCCGGTTGTGCAGCTTCCCGTGTGAGAGACGAGCAGCATTGAAGGATCTACTTTCACTCGAGCCACAAAGATCTCCGCTCGTCTGTGATTGACTCTCGTTTGGTTTCTCAGCACTCAGCACCACCCCGACTAGAAAAACCTTCAATTTAAGCAGGAAGAGCAGGACATTTGGAGAGAGAGGCCAAAAATTCGGAAGCCAACGCTTTGGCTCAATTAGGAGACTGTGTGCAGCTCAAGTGAGGCGCTGTGGTCGGCGGTGACCACGGCGATGGTCAGACGTCGTTAAACTGCCGTGAAGAAGTGAAGCCGCCGCCTCGTGAGACAGGAAGCGGGCGACGCTCCCAAACGGTGACAATTCAATTCAGAGCCGACAACCGTGACGCTGCTGCTGCACGACTCACTGTGAAGCATGCATCACCACGACACACACACACACACACACACAGTCATGCATGCAGACATAAAGATAGAAACACACACACACACAAAGATAGAAACACACACACAGCTCTGAAAAACCAACAGCATGCGTCACAGCCGGCTCTATGTGGACAAGCAGACACTCCCCTCTGTCAGGTCACGAGCTGCTACACCACACACACACACACACACACACACACACACACACACACACACACAC